AAGCCCGCACCCAAGGGGTCGGACGAGATGGAGCCCGCGGCCTCCTCGAGGTCGGGTGAGACGAGCCCGCGGCCTTGGGATCGGGCGAGACGGAACAACGTCCTTGGGGTCGGGCGAGACGGAACCCACACCCAAGGGGTCGGACAAGACGTAGCCGCGGTCTCGAGGTCGGGCGAGACAAAGCCCGTGGCCTTGAGGTCCGACGAGACGGAGCCCGCGGCCTTGGGGTAGGACACGACCTTTTAATACGTCTCGAGCTATTTGGAGAAGTCAGCATGGATCCCTAATATCGATACCCGACAACGTGCCAGAATCGAATATGGATACTGGTTCAAAGCCCATTTCACTACGTGACCATCAACAGTTTGCAGGCTATGGAGGAAATTGGCAAAGCAACAGAGAACTGGAAGTAACCTAAACCAAGGCCAACGCGCTGTAACATGTATATGACAGAAAAAGATCGGTGTTTCCAAAATTCAGATAACACCTAGCCCAAAAGATCAAAACCATTAACATTCGCTTCAAAATCCACAACTGGACCTCATTTCTATTTCCACATGTGTTTGAATTGGAGCTCCAATTCAGTTCATCTAACCCAATGCCATGAGCCCACGAACCAGGGCCTTTCACATCTCCACACCTAGGTACAACTCCAAACGAAAGACAGGACAAAACTCTGGAATAAGAACAGCTAATATCTATCTAACCACCTTAGATGACAATGCAACCAACCACTGTGAAAATGGTACATTCGAGAAACCAACACGAGAAACCTAGCAGGATACAGAATCGCCGTAGACTGCACCCTTCTGCAATCAAGCAGCATTGCAAAGGAAAAACAAAGAGAAAAAAAACATAGCAGAATCTTGAATGACTTGAACACCAGCAGCTTCTGCGGCACAAAAGGTATCTCCTTGGACCAGGCTCCAATAGCTGATGGCATGCAGTGAAAATTAACAGCCATTTGCAACGGCCGCCTCTTCAGTTGTTGGCTTAATGTCTTCTGGGGCGACACCATTAACAGCTACTGCCTCCACACTATTCTCCACCACAGCGTTTTGTTCCCCTATGGCCTCAGGTTTCTGCAGGCTCTCCTTCCCATCAGTAGCTTGATTTTCAGCAATGTTGGTGGCTGCCAACTTTCTATTCATGACCTGCAGGGTGAAAATGGCAGTTGAAATAGTTTCTCAACATCCAAATATGGGCAAACGCTACTGATGGATACCATGAAATGGGCTGAATAGTGCCAAATTGCCAATCCACATGAGCTTATAATAGGAAAAATGCTCAAACCAATTCTACAGAACCTCCATTGCTGCATATAACCCGCAGCAACAAGGCTATGAACTTGTACATGTTCAAAGGAAATATTAGGGAACATAAGCTAGATTTTCATAGTTCTCAGGTTAACAAGGGAAACTGCAAGTGCTAGCATTCATACAACTGCAGTAGAAGAGGGCTCATTACATGAAGTAGATTGGTAGTCACTCACACACCTCAACTGGATGCTGACGCTTTGATTTCTTCTCCTGCATTATCTTTTCACGGTCATCATAAAAGCTAAAGTCATCCAAGATGGATGTCTTGCAGACATGATCCTTGAAAATCTTTAAAACCTGAAGGCCTTGGTCAAGCTTAACCTGCAGACACCATGAAAAAGTATGGGAAAACTTAGCTACCGCAACATTAAAAGTGTTAGACATAAAAATCTGAAGGGCAATTTTCCATTTCTCTTAAGAGAGTACTGGCTTCCTGATTCATGCATATCAAGAATTTCTGCTACAATGTGTTACCATCAACAATCAGTGGAGAAAACTGACAAAACAAGAGAAAAACTGAAAGGAACTTAACTCACCTCCTGCGTATCTCTGCTGTTTGTAACTGGTTTGTTTTCGTTATACTCAAGAATGATGTGCTTCAACGAGCTGTTAGGAATGTCCTTCACAATGTGCCACTTGACAGGGAAGCAACCAGTCCACTTGTCCTGCTGCCAGTATTCAACTGTCTTGTTAAAATCAACCCGACCCACCATCTCAGCCAGACCAACAAACTGTCCGCTGGTGTTAACCTGGAAAATCGAGGAAGACAAGTAACATCAACATCCAACCTTACACACAGGTTCACAGAAGGGGGAAAAAGGCTCTTTAATAGAGGATAAGGATCAGACTTACAGAAAACAACAGGAACACAGGACAACTGCTTGATTTTTCCTTAGCCTCTTGATAAGCAGCATCCAGCTTTTTATTTCCACTAGGGGTGCTTGCCCAAACATTGTACTTAATGCTCTTGTGAACATCATCCTCACTGTATGATTTAATAATAAAAATTTTGGCATCTGAGTAGGTCTCACCAAAATCAGCAAGGTTGTACTGTTCCTGCTTAACAGCATTAGAGGCATCACTGCTGGGAGGCTCCTGTCCTTTTGCATCAACAGCTGCTCCAGAACCCTGTTGGTTTTTAAACAGACTACTTCTTGGTCCACGCTTCAACTCATCCAAACCATCCAAGTTTCCATTGCCAAAACCATAAGATCCGTAGGTTTTTCCTCTTGGCCTGTACTTCCCATTCGAAAACGCATTCCACCCACCATACAGCCCAGGACCATAGACATGAGAACCATACCAAAAGCTAGGTGCATAAGTGTTTGTGTTGTACATTCCACTACCAGAGTACATTGAACTCATGAACCCAGCAGATGGCAACCCCATCGAAGAGTTCTGACCATGCAAGCCCTGCAAGAATGCCCATGTTCAGAAGCAGTTGATGCCCATACAGCAAACTAAGAAAGTATGCAGGGTATGTACATTTCACTTAAAAATGCAACTGAACATAGCTTACATTGCCCCAAAATAACACAAAACCTATCAATAACTTGATTATTACATAAAAAAATTGTAGTGCTGGTTTATCTATTTTCTTTCCCAGATACTGATCATTAGGTCTAGACAGAACAGAAATTTAATAAAGTTATGTGGTACATGGATCATTATCAACGATCAGTATTCACTATTCAGTAAGTAACACAATTTGTGGAGTAAGCTCAATAATAGATGACAAAGTCCATGCACTTTCATATTCTGACTATACCTTATTATTATTAGAGACTGTCGATGTAGGATTCCCACCGAGAATTTCGGATGCTTTTCTGAAGAGGTGCACGCCACCAGACCATGGGTAACCCGTTTTGCTACCTTGATTCTGGTAATTACCAAAACGGCCATTTGGTTTCAGAGGCAACGTTTCCTTCTTCAGACCTTTTACATCATCAATGCTTTTCAGAGTGGTTTTGGAGGAATCCAACAAGACAGGCTGCTTATCAGCAGCAGTCGCAGTAGAAACATCTTCTTGTATCGAAGGAGATGATTTGCCAGTTTTAGCCTTGTATACTGGTTTGCTGGCAGTAGTCTTTGGCTGGTAGTATGTGGATGGGTACTGGTAATGCTGTGATCCATAAATCTGACCATCAGCAATACCATAATGAGGATAGCAATACATGTCCCCATAAACACCCTGAGGAGAAACAAACAAGACCAATTAATCCAAGTACACTTTGTACAGACTAAAATTGTGAGCATGACTTTCATTTGCTGTGTCCAACTAATGGGGTGGACAATGTATTGAACTATGGAGATGAGTGACTACAAGCTTAATGAGATGTGAAGAAGGGGATGAGTACTCACAGGGGAAAGTGCATCCCCTCCATCCTGGCTCACGTAGACGGAATAATCACCCCAACCTAAGACAGAGTTAAAGGCAAGTGCTCTGAGTTCGGGATCAACATGTAACTACACAGTTGCAGTTTCTACTGCTAATCCACTAGAAACAGGTATATTAACAGACTAATAAACAGCACTGCTTCACCTCCACAGTAGTAAGCTCCAGGGTAGGCACCATAGTACATGGCAGCATCCTTGTAATCCTGCTGCGCCCATGGCTCCGCTGAGGACGCTGGAGGGTTCAGAGACACCACCTCACCCTTGGGCACACCATTCAGCCCTCCCGACCCCTGCAGAAAAGATTCAAAACTTAGACTCTGGAGGGCTGCTGCCGCTGGAATTGCACGGGGAGGCAAGCGGAACATACCTTGTCCTTCGTCTCTGGGCCCTTGCCGCCTTTGCTCTTGGGATCCACCAGGGACAGCGTCTGCAGTAAATCCGCAACATCTGGAGCAAATCAAGTCAAGGGAAAACTCTGATCCAGGAGCTTCCAAATACACAGACCAGAAGATCACGGATTCAGCAGGGAATTCTAAACCGCAGAGTTAAACTAGGATCGAGGAACAGCAGCGCAGAACAAAATTCACAACAAAAACTAGAACACCACACACTCCACAGTCGGCGCTTGTAATCAACACGAAACGCCAAAAAAAAGTCCATAATCCTGTGCTTTCACCAACAAATCGCCTGCGGCTAAGAAACCAAGCTATTCGCTGGTCCAAAAAAGGCACCAAAACCTTCGGAAAATCGCCCCAAAAAAAACGCAACCAAATCAGGGGAAGGGTGGAGCTGCAAAGGGTTCTCAAGGATACGTACGGCAGCGGGCGCGACGGCGGCCATGGTGTCGATCCGGCGGACGCGGGGAGCGTGGCGGCGCGGTCCAAAAACCCAGAGAAACCCTAACGAGGCGGAGCGGGGGGTGGGGTGGTGTATGGTAAGTGTGAGGGCAGAGGTGGAGCCGCCCGCAACCGTGGGGAAAAAAAGAAAGAATGAAAAGGGGAGCGAGGGAAACGAGTGGAGAGAGAGCGAGCGCGTAATTTACAATCGCGCGGCGAGGGGTTTGGTACCGTTTGGAATTTTCCTTTTCGACGACGAGGTTGTGGGCCTGGGCCGGTGGGCTGGATGGGCTTTTGCAGGTGGGGGAAAGTGGAGTTCGTCGTCTTGGAGTTGACTAAGGGCCCACTGGGCACGTGCCGAGTTCGAGCCCTGACAACGATCATCGCCGCCTCCTCCTCAGCATCGACATGAGCAGCCGCAGCGGCGCAGCCACACCGCTCGATTCCGATGGCCGCGGAGGCGACTCCTTGCCGCTACCGCCGGATCCGGAAGGCCTCTGACCTCTCCGCCGTCAGCGCCGCCGCGCCCTCTAAACGGGTACTCCCTCGCCAGTCGCCCCCCTCTTCCTGGCCTCGTCCACGTTTTGCGTGTCTTCAACTATGTGTTCGTAGGTCATGCATGATGTTTTAGATTCGTGGAATAATCAGCCAGCAGGCATGACACTTTTTCATTTTTTTTTATAAGTCTTTTTTTTATTTCATTGCTACCTTGCCCGTCACTGCGGGATTGTGAACAGACACAATGTAAGCTCATGTTCATTTTCAGTTTTTTGTTTTATACAAAACATTTTCTGTTTAACTGCAAGGTTGCTACTTGCTAGTATAGTGTCACTATGTGTTAAAATTGGTCAATTGGGACATCTGTTATGCACGACCTTGATCCTGTTATCGTTTAGAGTGTACCTGGAAACAGGAAAATATGGGACTCATGTATTGATATGAAATTTTGTGCTTTACTTTTTTCCATGTTGTTCCTTATACCAAAACAAAATTTCAGGTGCGCATGGGAGAGAGACGATGCACCAGTCATGAGGACAGGATCAGCAGCTTACCTGACGAGTTACTCATCTTGATTATTGACAAGCTGGACATACGCTCAACAATAACAACCACCATCCTATCGAAGCGATGGCGTGATCTTCCTCGGCGTTTGCCAATATCCTATAACCTCACTGTCGATGACATCCTCCCACCACGCTATCACCGCCTGAAACGCCTTAACATGGAGGCTAAGGCAGCGTACGAGGCAGAGAAGAACATGCACAAGCTGACCGACATCTATGCCATCAAGGCTCAGCATGAGCGTTGGATGGCCAAGATCAGGCCTCTCAGTGCCATCCTGGAACGCTACAAGCACCGGGCCATGAGGCGCTATGTCAAGCAGGTGAACGCATTTCTTCTGGCCCCAAAGAATGTGCGTCAGCGCCGACCTGTCCACAAGCTGAGGCTACAAATGCTGGGACGTTTGCATGAAAACATTGATGAATGGGTCACTGCAGCCATTGCCAAGTGGGGTGTTGAGGACTTTGAGCTTATGATTGATGGCTATTGCGTATGCTATGACCTCAAGCAGCTGGATCGATACCAGAACGTTCCTCTGGAGCGGCTTGTGCTATCCAACTGCCAGCCTCTTTGTGCATGGAACTGCCTGACAGTACAGAGGCTCACCAAACTCACATTGGGTGCAGGTTCATATATGGGAATCATCAGTAGTATTCTTAGAAACTGCATAGAGCTAAGGGATTTCAAAATCACATCTTCTCGTGTTTGCCAAGCTGCTCTACGTTTCTTTGTGCCGACGTCGAAGATAAAGAGTCTGCAAGTGGATTGGTGCTGCTTTGGGAAAATATATCTGATGTCTCTGCCTTGTCTTGAGACTTTCGTTTGCCATGGTCGCCCAACCAAGTTATCCTATGGTGAGGTGCCTCGCCTTAGGCATGTGAGCTTGGACTACTTACAGACCGAATATAACAACATCGACGATGAATCTGGTACTAGTAGGACATATCCACCGAGCAAATTCTTCAAAAGGATCCCACCGCTAGATTCCCTTGTTCTGCAGTTCAAAGGACCCCGGGTGAGTAATCATCTCTTATCTCTTATGCATACTTAAGTAATTGTGTATTGACATTGCTGTGTCATGTAAAAACCGTTGTGTATTTATGTATACAGATGTGGATCGAACCTTTTGTTGTTCCTGGTGGTCAGCTCAAAAAACTGTTCATCGCAAATGTCCCAGTGAACTGGGACGTACTATGGATTCTCCTACTGCTTGGTGCAGCACCAGCCTTGGAATCGTTCCATGTTCATGTACGTTTTTTCTTGACCAAACTTACTGAAAACATATGTGCATGGATGTTGGAAATACTAACTGTAAACCCATCTGTTCTGAAATCTGACAGATTGACAACAACTCGGAGCAGCGAGGCTCAGGTGATCTTTGTGACAGTCTGGACGCCGATGCGCAGCAACATCAGAACCGTTGCCTGAAGGAGCTTGTTGTGGCAGGCTTCGAAGGATTGGGGTGGCAAACAGGCTTTGTCAGAATGATCATGAAGAGGTCGCCGTCGCTGAGGCACGTGCACCTGCTTGACGGCGAGGTCAAGGACAATGAGCAGGAGCTGGGGGCGCTGCAGATCGTCCCACGGCGCCGGGCGTGGCACGAGTGTGAGCGAGCTGTGGTGCTGGATGACCTCACCGCTGGGTTTCGCTTCCTGCCTCGAATAATTCTGGAATGAGCTGCTTAGCTTCTTCCTTGTTCAAATAATATCATTCCATGCCTTGTTAAATCGGTTTAAATTATGAAAAAAGAATGTAGAGTTACACGTGTGCCTTTTTTATTTATAATAAGGATTATGCGTGTGCCTTGTCACCTTTCGCTTGGAGACTAGTATAGTGCCCGTGCAAACGCCACGGCTGCATTTCAGGGATACACATGAAAACAACCCAATGGGAAAAAAAAATGTTACGGACAATACTTGCAATTGCAATTGATCCGTTATAAATAATTTGGCTAAAAATGTTCCTCTATCAGGGCTACTTGCTTACTTCTACAGTTTGACATTATCCTGTTCCTCAAATCCAATGAATGCTAGTGCTTCTCCACTTGTCCTCATATCCTCAGTAGTCTCCTGAAAATATGCAAGACAAAATAATATATTATGAGTGGCAGGAAGAATATGATAGTACTGCTGCTACTAAACATTTGGTCAGAAGCAATTTAGATGCGTCAGCTTCACTGGTGCGAAATAATGCTGAACCAGGCAACTAACTCTTGTACCAGCAGCCTATCTACTCGCTGTTTCAGTGAATACAGCAGAACCCAGAATCGGTCAGTAGAGTGTGCGCTTGCGAGACAACAATGTGATATTATTTGTTTCCAACAAGAGATCACAGATGAGAATGAACAAATACTTGTATTAGTTCACCTTGTACAGAAAATTTTATCAGTAATTCTCTTTTGTTCATAACCTACCAGCTACATGCCTTAATCTAAACAAGATCTCTGTCACGTCCCCAATCACAAATCATAGACATAATAAATATTTTATATGGTAAGCAACTGAATCTGGAAGTCCAGCACACCACCACGCTTCTGGTAAAGCCAATGTACGTGCACCTAAAACATTTAGCAAATTGTAAGAACCAGACATATAGCGCGCCATGTTGAAACCATGGGAATTCACGGGATCAGAATTTAGAAGTCACAGGATCAAGTAGTGTCAGCACTCATATTACTTGATTCAGTCTATATTTAGCCAAGAACTCTACCTGCAGATCAGAGGGGATGCTAGGGGCCACCTGAGGTGCATCATTTTCAGCATCAGTTGTATCACATGAAACTAACAGCTTCCTTCCTCTTATATAATGCTTGTTGGAAGTGACGCCAACTGCATGGTAACAACATAATTGTAGCAATCAGATCCAGTCACTGCTCCCATCCTAATTGTAAAAAAAAATCAACTTAGCAATAGAACATTCAGAAGTAACACTTGAGCACAAAAGCATATATTTGCAAGCAGAGAGGCAGCAGTAACACCTCGAGAGTACTTTACTGGTTGAAAAATAGACTGGCATAAGGGATAGGCAAGGGTAAACTGGATAGCCAAGTTCAATGACTGAGAAGTAGAGGGCTAGCACGAGCTGTGACCATTGCCAAGAACGAGTGCATTCTATACCTAGCGATAGGTCAATATCCTTTTTCCTATCTATTGAAGATGCAAAGAGAGATGCTTCTTCCTCTTCAAGTTGGAAGTGCAAGAAGAAATGCGGTAAAGCGGTAAATAGGAGTTCCATCTACCACGCACTCGCCCCACACTCCAGTTCAGCATCGTTTCTATTTTCTTATTTGGGATCTTGCTTTTCATGGTTCTCATCTCTGCAACTCGCGATTTTCGCGAGAGAACCAAATCCAAGTTGGTGAAGATCATGATTTGGGCTGGCATAGTAGTTCCGTGAGCGAGGCTTACTTGGGTCGTGTTATAAATGCTCTCGCTAAACCTATTGATGGGAGAGGCGAAATTGTCGCTTCAGAATCTCGCTTAATTGAATCTCCTGCTCCGGGTATAATTTCTAGGCGTTCCGTATATGAACCCCTTCAAACAGGGCTTATTGCTATCGATTCGATGATCCCCATAGGGCGCGGTCAGCGAGAGTTAATTGTTGGGGACAGACAGACTGGCAAAACAGCAGTAGCCTACCAGACCAACCCACTGAAATGCAAATAGGGATCAGAAATGTGGTCAATATCACGAAAGAATAATGAAAGACCGTCTATACCCATATACAAATGGATGTTTTCATAAGGAAGCCATCGAAGGCTTTCCACAAATTGAGAATTGGCCGTAGAAGGATCGAATTGTATCCGAGGAACAGGGGGATACAAAAAAAGTAATAAGAGAAACGCATGCACCAATCAATCGTATCGGTCTTATTGAAGAATTTGGAATGAAAAGAGGAGTAATGCTTCCTAGCACGGACGAGAGAATAGGACCACTTAGATCGAAATAGCATTCACTGAAATGTTCTAACATAGAGTAGAATCGAACATTGAAAAGATTAGTTGACAACAGTCAATCAAAAGATGGGGCGCCAAATTACTAAACAATAGGGGTCTTTACATGCAAGTCACCAACACCGTAATTGATGAGTGAGTAGGTGGGTTAGGTGCACCCTCGACCAGTGGGAAGTCATGAGGCTAGCCCCCTGAATGAAGAAGTAGTGGGGCCTCGCCTACCATGCGATGCGCGCTTTTATTTAGATTCTAACTAAATATTATACTGAACTTTATCCGGAATCTTTCTTTAGAATCCATCCGCAAAACGCAATTTGTCGATTTCCATTTAAGGTACACCTTGCCTTTTTCGTAGCTTTGTTACGCCTATTCAGCTAGGTGGGGCATTGGTCATAGCCAAGTCGAAGGAAAAAAATAAGGTAATGAGATGATGGTGTCATCAAGAAGTTTTCGACGAACGTAGTAGCGGCCAAAAATGAAACTCTTGCATGAAAGACCGGATTTGACGCAAGATGAATGGTGTTGGGCAAATGAAACCCGCGATCGAAAAGTCACCAACGGAGCCATACAATCTATCTAGTAGTGTGCCATGGCGGTACTCCGCTTCGCAATGGAAGGAGCAACATCTCATTGCTTTTATCTCATCCAAGATAGTGGAGAGTCTCCCAAAAAATAGAGAAGCCTGTAGTTGAGCACCTATCTCAAGGCCCAATCGGCATCGATGGTTGCACGCAACTCTAAAGAAGACGATGATGAAAAAAGGACGGCTCAAGAAAAAGGTACCTCGAATATATCTAAGAATCCGATGAACTGCCGCAAAGTGAATCGACCGGGGGCAGCCATGAAAGGTCGACTTTCTTAAGAAAAAGCCATCCGGGCAAGAGATCGTCGAGATAAACCAAACCGCCGACCCTCATCATCATCTGCGTCGGATCGAGATAATGGTGAGCCATCGATCGGACGGAGTTTAACGTAAAGCTCCAAGGGAGTGTCAACACTCATCATTGAGTTGAGCTCGAGTGATCAAGTCATGACGTTATTTGATCCGAGATACCAAATATCCATGAGGAGAATGTGCGATCGACCTCCAAGCCAAGAAAAGGCTTAGAAGCGCGTCGGTATACTTTCATAGCAAATAATTGATGAAGGCGACACTCGATCAGCGATATGGTAACGGAGTAATCACCAATCAGTTTGATATCATCAACATACAACAACAGAATAGCACGTCCTCGATCACTAAAGTGACTAGCCAGATACTATACTGTCTGAGCTGAGTCAGCCCTTATGGAAGGGAAGATGGGCACTGGCTCTTTGAAGGAAGAGGGTACTTCAAGCCCAACCTAGAGATAGGTTGGGTTGCGCGTCCACACCACGGCTAGTCTGTCGACTTTTGGGGATATCCCCGCCGGGCAGGTGAGAACAGACTATCGGACGTTAGCTAGAGCTGAAGCGAGGGGGAAGGTAGATTGAGAACTTGGTTTCGGACAGTTTACCAAGGAGAATATCAGGACAGGCAAACGGGTGAAATAAAGAAATCAGCTCTTGGATCAAGCTGAAGGCACGGTTCTTACTTCCTAAGAAATGATAGCATTGAGCTCACTTAGGAGGAGATAGGATCGGGAGGTCATCGGCCAGAGGTTTACTACAGGAGTGAAAGAGATGGGCGACAAGAAGGCGGTCACCAGCTGCTACTAATGGGATTCCCACTCACAGATGAGACCCATTAGAAGTGGTTGTCCCCTGGCACTACCGGGAGGGTGCCTGGCCGGCCGGATTATTCTTATTCCCGGTTGTGTGGAAAAAAAGGAGCCCTTACTCATCTTAAACAAAAGGCTTAGCGCCCTCAACTTACCAATTTCACTATAGGCTGGCTCTTGGTGGAAAGGTTCAATTTCTGATTCTTTTCTTGGAGCTGCAGATGTAAAGAAGAATTGAATGCCGGCTATTGCTTGATCTTATCCCTAGTCTCTAGGTCAATGGCCATAAACAACCAACTAACGCATAAAGAATGTAAGGATAGGGGCTGAAACATGGCTAGAAATGCGAAAGCAATCGATTGAATCCAACGTGAGTCAACAATGGGGTCTATTAGTGCGTTCTGAGGGTGGTATCAAAGGCATAAAAGGGTTCGAAAGTCATAAGCCACGGCGGACGCATCCATTTTCTTGCTAGATGTCGACCAATTGGTCATGAACATCGTAAGGCGTTGTTCTTCGCGAATCCCCGCCGTAGTATCGCCTACCCCTACTCGCTTAAAGCCCTTTACCAAGAACTTCCACAATGGTTTCCTTTGACATCTTGTAAGTCACAGCCTCCTTACCCAAATGAGTGAATGAACGAGCCAATAAACCGTGATCGGTCCATTTACTATTTATTATAGTCTATGACGGAAGATCGCCTTTGCACATGAGATGCGTACTTTGTGGTTGGCGGGATAAGCAAAGCCTACATCATCTAGGACTTGCCATTGAAAATAAACCTTTCTATTCGGTCATCAACATTTCTCGGGTCCATTTAGCTTCGGTGACCGGATAGATCCATCATCTTCGAGGAGGAGGAAACATAAGTCCAATACGCGTTATGGAAGACTAGGGATTGCTAATCCGCCACGTGGGAAGCCTTCTCCTCTCGGGCTCAAGAGTCAAGATAGCCCGCCCTAAACAAGAAGCGACTTATTCTTTCTACTATGGCGGATAAAGCAAACCAAAAAGCAGCATAACGGCTTTCGCGCTAGTTGCTCCATCCGTTGCTTGTTTGGTTTCGATGCATAAATCAACCTCTCGTTCAAAGGTAATCCCGGTAGAGTCTCATGGAAGACGTCGGTAAATTCTCGACACCAATCGGAATAGATGATAGGTTCTTGACCTCCGATTTCGCTCGCATGGTCGATACAAGGTAGGCGGTACAACCCGACTCGATTAGATGTCGTGCTGTAAAGCTGAGATTGTCGTAATTTGATCACCAACTTGTCCGAATTGCAATGAAAATGGCTTAGTCCCCGGTTTCGGAATGTCACCTTCCTGCGAATCAATCGTGGGCTCGTGGCATGATGCATAGTCAACCATTCCAAGCCCAAAGATCATATCGTCCCGCTTTTGCAACTATTGGGTCTACTCTTAGCTCTCGTCCCCGCAATCAGATCTTAAGGTATGAACACCTCAATTCTGAATGAAGAATTCAAAGGTGGGTGTTCCGATCAACATTGTTTTTCCACTCTCTATTGTCGCCACCCACATCTTTTGACCCAAGCTTTAGATGATACTTGAGTGATCGCATCCAAAGATCAATCAAGACGTAAGCAAAGCACCCGAAATATTGAAGATACACTTATCGCCTTCTGGGCCACGGTAGTGTCATCTGTCTGATCTAGTCTGTCGATTGGTCCCCAAATTCGTTGTGATGTGCCCGAATGTGACTCACTGCGCCTCCTCCTGCCTCCAAATCTCACGTCCCGGCGAGAGATGGGACCTCCACGACCTCTCGGCTGTTGTGTACCGCCACCTCTCGCCACTACTCCCTGTGTCATCGGTTTGGTTCGGTCTCCAAGCATGAGTTTTGAATTTGGCTTGGGGTGAACTTCAGGTTGAGCTGGAAGTCTCCCTTGAGTGCTTGCAGATGGTTGTGAGGCTACCAAGCTATCCATACGAGTGGTCAATGTTTGCATAGAATCCCTTACACCAAATATTATCAATCCTTTGGAATAGAATACCTGTCTGCACCTGCAGCAGCAAGATCTAGTTTTACTAAAGCGGCACATTTTTTCTCTGTGGACCGAGGAGAAAGGGGGCTCAGCAGGAAGAGGATTGTACCATGAGAGAAGCACAGAGGTCAACCCGCTTCAAATATGGAACATGGATTCTGGCAATGCAACGGAGTTGGGTCCTCATATCGATCCGAATGAATCAGTCTTTCTACAGAGGTCAATCTTTGCCTATTAGGCAAGAGGATAGCAAGTTCAAAATTCTGTCTCGGTATGGATTCGAGCCATAGCACATGGTTTCATAAAATCTGTACAATTTTCCCGATCTAAATCGAGTGGGTTTCCATGAAGAAGATCTTGTTCAGCATGTTCTATTCGATACTGGTAGGAGAAGAACCTGACTCGGTATTCTTAAAAAAAGAACTAGCTGTTTGTCATTGTCAGGCTACTGTTCTTCTATTCTTTCGAATCCATGAAGTAAGACATTGATTTTGCAACAAGGTCAATTATGTTCATTGCATAATAAGTTCCCTTGAAAAGTGGCCAATTTACCCTCTTTTGCAATCAGTTTCGCTACAGCACCTGCTGCTCTAGCTAATTGCCCACCCCTTCCACATGTGATTTCTATGTAGAGTTAGAGACGCATCAATTTGCGTCAAAGGTCCTAGATACATAACCGCTCAAGATATAATCTTACCGCCTTCCGTAGAAATCGTTGATACGACACAACCTATAGCTAACCTGAGAGAGCCCGTTGATTTCTGTATTGAGTTACAGATCAAGAGAGATCGCGGATATCATACGGAACTCAGAAAGAACTCTCAAGATGGAAGTTATCCTATAGATGCTGTATTCATGCCTGTTCGAAATGTATAGCTAGCTAAAGCCTCAAAGGCAAGTAAAGAATCAGCCAACAAGGTTTGCCATAACGTTTTTGAGTAGTTTGACAAACGAACGCTTGACTTCCAGACCATAAAAACCTAATAGGTCTGAGTGAAAGATTGATTTTCATACATAATGAATAGAAAAGAATGGAATTTCCGATCGTACTCTTTTTTATGCCGGGGAGTTGCCGCTGGGGACCATGATCGAGAGGGCATTTTATTTGCCGTAAAAAGATGAAATTTATCACTTCCTGCCGGGTACTCGTTTTATGCTTATTAAATAAGAAATTCTCACTTGGTTGAGGGCAAAGAGAGCGGCTCCATTGATTGTGAAAGCTAGTCCGTTATTCCAGGAGTGGAATTTTCATTCAAAAGTTAGTAATTTGAAATAATAGGAAAGCTTGGTATTTTTGGTATAGAATGCAAACTTCCAGCTTCCTTGGATTTTGCAATATGACTGGTGGCCTAGTCTCAAGGAGCCGGTGCAATTTGGTACTTCATGTACTTTTTATTCCTTAGATTGTCTCAAAGTTCCAAGTTTTTTCACTCTCTCTCCATCACATCAATTTTTGGACGCATATATGGAGCATTAAATATAGGTAAAAAAGTAACTAATTGCACAGTTTGATTGTAAATCACGAGACGAATCTTTTGAGTCTAGTTAGTCCATGATCGGACAAAGTTTGTCAAATACAAACGAAACGTGCTACAGTGTCCAGATTGCAAAAAATTACAATCTAAACGAGGCCGATGAGTAAAAACCAAGATACAAGGTTCACTTGTTTATTAGGTGAGACATTTCATCAAACGACATGTGGGCGAGTAAACAAATGGCGCCCACCATATCTCAGATCCTACTAAAACCCAAAGCAACCCATCCGTTCTTAACACCATTGAATTAGATTACAAACCAGGAGAGATTATTATACCAAGCTAACAAGAAGAAATAGCAAGAAAATTATACGATGGTCTTAAGGCAGCTAAGTAGGGCAGAGATTGGTGTCTTACCAGTTCAAGCTTCCGTCCTAGTGAGGGAAGAGGGCAAATAGCGTGGATAACCGCGGTTGAGTAGCAGCATCTTGAGCTTGCTGCCGTCGTCTGAGGACAGTAGTTGACCAACATAACACTTGTCTGTGCAGCTTATACCAGTAAGCAACAGCTATAGGATAGTAGTTGAGAAAGAAAATATTTATAAGCAAGTAGGAGAAACAAAACATTAGTGATTTCATCAGAGGACCAAACAAAGCAGCATGGGTGCATTATATTGGTGTAGGGAAGAAGCATGATCTCTTTTATTTCTCTAATTATATCGTATTACTGGTGCTCTGTGGAGATGAACTTATGTCACCATGTATTTTTATTAGCATTAGATTGTTACATTTCCAATAAATAAAAATTTGAACCTATGTCAACATGCTGTAAAATTGTACCAGCATCATGCCAACCTAATCGAACCTAAACGGAAAATATAACCCACTAAATAAGTCATAGTATCTAAGAAACCCGAAGGCTGAATCAGCTAATGCTGGGTTGCGAAGAGGAAAACAGTAATGTGCACACAAAGCAAAAAGACCAAAATTGATCTAGCATAAACAGAGAGAACGGTTCATCTGGGGCACTAATACATTTCCCAAACCCAGTTCTGTTGCATAAACGGATGTGTAGTCAGCTGAGTAAGCATATGGCCAACTAAAGTTGCATGAGTTCCTTACCCAAAACACGACAAGAGGAGAAAGAAATACCGTACCAGAATGGGCAGTGGGCTCGTGGCTGCAAAGTGGTGACCGGTACCCAAAACACAGCAAGACGAGAAAGAAGACGGTGTTCCTCATGTGTATCCTGCCTATGAAGAACTTGATCCTGTTTTAGAGTGGCACAAACTATTGTGTTAACCACTATACATAAAATTTATTCAAAGGAAAAGGGAGGAGGACACTTACAAGGAAAATATGAAGCTCCTGTAGAAACACTCTCCATCTCCATGCACTGGCCTAAATTCAGAATAGGCACGACAAAGGTTGAGTACAGTTGAATGAAATTCCACTCCTTGCTCAGCAACCATTTCGAGGAGCTTGTGATGCCTAATGATCCCAGCCATGTGTACTTTCTGCACAAACACAAGAAAAAAGGAATTCAAATCAAAATGATCTGAACCAGGTAGCAACAGTTCTAATATTGGTGTCGGCTGGTTAGGGGTTGGCGGCAAGCAGGGTAGGGGTTTGTGGCGAGCAGATCACGGCAAGCCTATTTTGAACAACATCAAGTAAGTATTTAACCTAAACAAGAAAAAAACTAATTTACTACAAAGTATAACAGCCTAACTCATGATTGTCGTCAGATTGCAGACTGTAGAGTGTTTCATTGTTGTCGTCAGATTCTAAAGCTACCAAACAACATGGCGTGCAAAAATTAGAGCACAGTAAGTATGGCATCATTGCTTCGAGTTAGCAAAGGAATCAGAGAAAAATTAGGATCCTACGAGGCCTTAACACCACTGCATAACAAGTTCTTGCCCAAAAATTAACACTACTGCATAACATGTGCACATGCCACATCACACAACTGGAATCAACTCTCATCAACACTGAACATTCAGAGCATGAAGCAAACTGGTTCAATTGTTTCAACACAAGAGAAGGGAGAGAAACCAAGCCGTAATGCACCTTAGTGATCTTGAGCTTGTAGAACACATCCTGCAGGACCTTGTAATTCTGGATCATGCCTCCGTCTTGACGTCGAAGTTAACCTTGTGCATCGGCACAAGCACCGGATGCGTCGCGTGACCGCGTCCATCGGTTAACGCAAACCGCTGACGCCGCTTTGTAGACCATGAAATCGACGAATGGTTCTAGGGACTCAAAACTCGAAACAGAACCTAACCGCTTAGCCCGCATCCTCCCCAAAGATTCGCGAAACCTCGGCTCCACCACTAACGCGAACAACACAGATCGGGAAGACGGACTCAGGCGGGCGCTGCTTACCTTCTCCACCTTGGAGAGGCCGAGCTGCAGCATGGTGTTTCTCCGCGCCGGTTGCCTGTCTGGCCGGCCGCCCGGCCCGGCTAGCCGTTGCTTGGCCAGCGCCTAGCACGGGAGGGGGGCGCAGATCCAGGCTGCCCCGACCTCCTGGCGGTTGGCCGCCGCCGCCGCCATTGCAGCAGGCGGCGAGCGAGCGAGCGAGAGGCCCGGGATCGCCTTGCCCTAGTCGCGCCGTGGGGAGAGGATCGCTGGAGCCCGCAACTCGCGCGTGTGGGAGAGGAGGCATCGGGGAGAGTCGGAGAGAGCGAAGTCATGCGGCGTGGCCATGGGGAGAGGAAGGCGTCGGGGAGAGAGGGAGTCGCGCCAGGGGCGTCGGGGGAGAGAGAGTGGGGTGGACGCGAGGTGGGTTGAGCGATGAAGGTTTGATCAAAGAACATGAGATCTGAGTGAGGAAGGGTGCGATTGGTTTGTGGATCAAGTTGGATAGGATATATATCCGTGTATATATTGGGACAAGGATATTCATGATGCACGTTTGGTTGGATGTATATGATAAGCCATTTTTTTAGTTGGATGGATGAAAGTGGATGGGACGAGAATAGTTGACTAATTATATCTCTTATTTAAAAATAATATCAACTAATTAAACACTAATAAATATGCACTAATACAATTTATATCATGATAATCACTAATTTAAAATAAAATATATTAATTAGCACCACTAAATATCCTAATTACACACATAAAACATGCACTAATCAATATATTAACACTTATCAAAACTAATCCTACCCTCATAATTTTTAAGTGTTAAAATAACATACTAATAATCCTTAATTTATTTAAGCCTTGTTTAGTTCCTCCCCTAAAGTTTACTCCATTTCCTATCAAATGTTTGAACAAATACATGAAGTATTAGATATAGACTAAAATTTAACTAATTGCACAGTTCACGACTAATTTGCGAGATGAATCTTTTAAGCCTAATTAGTCTATGATTTGACAACGTGGTGCTACAGTAACGCATGTGCTAATGACTGATTAATTAGGCTTAATAAATTCGTCTCACGGATTACTCATGGATTCTGTAATTTATTTTTTTATTAGTATCCGAACACCCCATGCGACACACCCATATGACAACCGATGTGACACCCCAAAACTTTACACCTTGGATTTAAACAAGGTCTTACTAATGACAAAGATTATAAGACATGGATAAGTTGGTCCGCCAGATTTTTTCAGACCACAAAATTCACCATCTAGGTGGAATATTCTGTATCCATGTATTTCTTTACCTAGTGATCCATCCAACCAAACACACCTCATTCATGGATGGTCCTATCCTATCCAATGAGATAAGCAACCAAACACATCCTAAGAGTAAGGAGAGGTTAGAGCGGATCTGATGCGTTCGTTTCAAATGTATATTGTTTCTGATTGTAGTTTTTTTTATGCATCTAGGAGAGATCATGACTACTGAGGTCATTAGTCGGAATTTTTCGAGTCCGAACGTTCGGACCCGAGTCTTCCGCCCATGATTCCGGCGTCGCTGTGATTCCCGCCTGATTGGCCGATTGTTTCACGTGAACACAAGTGCTTTTTGTGTATTGAGCTGTTTATTTTTTGTTTGGGCCTTTTTAGGATGCTTTGGCCCATGTTGATGATTTGATTCAATCTATCACTGCCACGCTGTGTTGTCCTCCGTCATCATGTGAGTAGGTGCTACAGTTTTCCTTTCTTTTATCTTTTTCTTTTCATTTCTTTTTCCTTTTTAACTTATTTTTCTTTAATTTTATTTCCTTTCCTTTTTACTTGTTTTCTTTTCTTTCTTTTTGCTTATTTTTATTTATTTATTATTCTTTTCCTTTTTGTTTTCTTTCTTCGCATCTATCTATTTTTACTCTTTAATTTATTTTTTCTATGGTTCTTTATTCTTATTTTTTGTAGTTCTTTATTCTAATTTCCTTTTTTATTTTACTTTTTTATTTTATTTAATTCAATATTTTATTTATGTTTTTCATGGTTTATTCTTTTCTTCTTCTATTTCTTTCTCCTTTTTTATTTCTTTTTATGTTTTAGTGGATTTCTTGTTTTCATTTTTTTCTTTTCTTTTCATTTTTTTTGCATCATTTATTTTTTATTTTTATTTTCTGTTTTATACATTTATTATTGTTTTCATTTTTAATATTTATAGTTTTTACTTTCCTTTTATTTCTTATTTTTTCTTTTCTTATTATTTTTTATGATGTTCTATGTTGTTTTTCGTGATGTTCATATATTATACATGTGATGTTTTATGTTTTTTTATTTTCACATGTTATACATGTGATGTGCTGTGATGTTTTTTTTATGTTCACGTGGCGCCTATATACATGTAATGTTCTATGATGTTTTTTACGATGTTCGTCTATTATACTTGTGATGTTCTCGTAGTATACATGTGATATTTTATGGTGTTTTTTTGTAATGTTCACACAATATGCATGTGATGTTCTATGATGTACTTAGTGATGTTCACATAATATATATATGATGTTCTATAATATATTTAGTGATGTTCTATGGTGTATTTTAGTGATGTTCACTTAGTATACATGTGATGTTCTATGATGTATTTATTAATGTTCACGTAATATATATGCGATGTTCTATAATATATTTTTAGTGATGTTATATGGTGTATTTAGTGATGTTCACTTAGTACACATAGTGTTCTATGATGTATTTAGTAATGTTCATGTAATATAGATACGATGTTCTATAATGTATTCAGTAATATTCTATGGTGTATTTAGTGATGTTCACTTAATACACATGTGATGTTTTCTAATATATTCTAGGATGTTTGAAAAGTATCCGTGTGATGTTCTTTCAAAAAAGTTTTCTATTACGTGTTTTTATTTTTTTCTTATACTTGGCTCTAGAGTTTATTATTATTTATTTATATTATGTATTTATTTTCATATGTATATTATAATACTAATTTTATAAATCTAAAACTAGAATATTGTCTAAACAGAGAATATTTTTCTTATGAAGACGAAACATTATTCTCTGAACCTAGAATATCACGTCTGCTCAATAACTGAAAATGTTTTATCTTTATTAATTAATGTTCGTTAATGAAACTTTATCTAAATATATCCATGTGGGGTCTTGTTTTGAAGCATTTATTATAAGAAACATAATGGTACAATCAGAATTTTAATTTAGATACTCGGTTTAGTAGTTATGATTTTTGTTAAGTTTATACCTCACGCAAATCAATGAAATGGAAAAATTAATTTGTACTTCGGTCCCTCACTTCCTGCGCGCCTACCCGCGCAGCGCACATTGCAGCTTGGTCGGCGCGCGCTGGGAGTGGACCAATTGGGCGGGAAAAGGTGCCGGACGAATGTTACCATCCGATTGGGCGGACTCTAGCACCGTCCGTCATTAGTTGGGGTAGCTGTAGGGAAGTTTGATACTGGTGGTTTTTATAGTGGTAGATAAGGCTGGATAACGAGCCGGCTCGGCTCGTTTGGGCTTGGCTCATTCTGGCTCGTTAAGATAACGAGCTAGCTCGGCTCGGCTCGTTATCCTAACGAGCCAGAAAGCCGGCTCGACTCGTTAAAAGCTCGAGCTGGCTCATTAAGCTCGTGAGCCAGGTATAAAAAATACACAAAATATAATATTTGCATTTATCTAAAGTTTAAGGATAATAATAATACAAAAGAAATGCATCTAGACCAGTTACCAGTCAATTTATAGAGTCTAGACCAGTTACCAGTCAATTATAAAGTGTAAGATATGATGTAATACAAAAACTAATACAAGTTTTGATATTTTTTTCCTGGAAGCTTGGCTCGTTTAGCTCGCGAGCGGCTCGCGAGCTGGCTCGAGTTGGCTCGTTATAGTTAACGAGCTAAAATCTTGGCTCGACTCGGCTCGTTATCATAAAGAGCCGAGCCGAGCCGAGTCGAGCCAGCCACGAGCCGAGCGAGCTAACGAGCTTCGAGTTTTTCGTCCAGCCTTAGTGGTAGAGATGCAAGGGATGGAGCTAGCTGCTCGGATTCCATGGTTCACGGAACAGTGTGGCTTTTGGCTTTTTTTTTTACGAAGGGCGTGTTTGGTTTCGCATATCTGCGCGTTACGATCGAGATAAGCCAAAGAATCCCGCCAAACGGACTGCGACCAACGCGCGATGGCCGGTTGAAAACGAACACGGGCGGGCGTTCCCCAAAACGCGGCCTCGGAGGCGAGTTGTGGAACCAAACAGGCCCGAAGGATCGTCGCAGTTGGCTTGGCTTGGCGTGATCAACGATTCCTCATAGCATTTGAAAAGATCTTAGTACAGGGCACGCCCTGTGGTCGACTATCGTTGGCCGGTTAATGCTGAACTGTAAATACTCCTTTTTTAACATGACTTTATAAGCACCGTCGTTTGTTAGAAATTCTCTTGTATTGGTACATGTATGAAGTTTAGTTTTCAGGTGCTGCTACGCGTATAAAGCTTGAACTTTACTTTTTAGTTATGATTTATGAAGTTTGAACAGAGTGTATAAATCATGAAGCATAAAAAACTCCTGAACTTTACTTTGCCTCTCGTGCAAACACAGGGATTTCCACGGGCAACGGTAGAGAAAAATCCGGATTCCCCCTCAAAAAAAAAATCCCGATCTGGAATTCCAAATGGAGCCTGAACTGTCAACTGTGGCACAGAGCTTCGGCCGCATCCGGCACGGCGACACCACACGGTAGCTAAACTGTAACAACGTATCTTTTTTTTTTCTTTAGAAAAGCCAAAGCAACTACTGTGTCTTCCTCACCGGCCCGTTATAGACTATAATATGTTTTGATTTTCTAGATATATTAAATTTATTATATATTTAGACATAATGTATAATTACTCTCTCAGTTTCAAATTATAAAACAATTTTAGTTTTTCTAGATGCATTGTTTTTATCATGCATCTTGACGTAACGTATCTCTAAATACATAAAAAGTTATGAATATAAAAGTACCAAAACGCGTCTTATAATTCGTAATGGTGAGTGATTGCAAAAAATATACATTATAAAGGCAAAGACCTGCTTCGTTTCACTAAAATTTGGTTTATACGGATACATATGTTGATTTGTTGTAAGAGAAAAATATTGTTTATCCGACGAGAAGTCTTGTTGAAGTAGTGCTATAGAACAGGGCTAAAACTTTTTATATTTTAGAATAAAGAAAGTACTTAATGATTTAGGTTCCTCGATACCCTATGAGCAAAAGGTCAAAGCTATGTAAAGACGTGCACGGTGTGCCAAACAAACTCGGAGCAGAAAATCAACAATCAACTTGTCCTGGGCTCGTTGATACCATTGACACCTCAAACCCACACGTCAAGCTTTCTCAATATATATATATATATATATATATATATATATATATATATATATATATATATATATATATATAGAATTATCTATTTATAGCCTATTTGAAAACAAACCAGTCTTTTATATTTGGCACTAAAATTTTTGAACTTTCTTATCTGGCACCAAGTTGAAATTTTCTTCCGTAAATAACACTACTGTCTATTTTGGCTTGCAAAACAACGTAAGTGCCCTTGTTTGTAGTAGCCGTTTGGAGCACGCATGCACGTTGCTGCTACTTCTGCATGCATGCTGCTGCTGCTTCTGCACAAGGCTGCTTGTTGCGTTCATCATGACCTTGGACTCGTCGAAGCTGAGCACGCCGTCGCCGTCGAAGTAGTAGGCCAGCGCACTCTCGCTGCTGGCGGTCGACTCCGGTGAGGGTACGTCGCTGGTGTGCGAGTTGCTACTCCACGCGGGGGGTGGTGTCGCCGTCATCGTCGCTGCAGGCACTGCCTAGTTCTCTGCCAAGACCGCTTGCTAGCTTCCTGCGATCTCCACCATGTGCACCGTAGCTCCTTTCGTCCTTCCCAGCCTCGCCGGCGCAAACATGATGAAGAGGACAACGATGGCCACGACGCACGCGGAGGTCGCTCCTGCCGCGGTGCGCTGGTGCGACTATGGCGTGGACGATGACGCCGACATCGACGCGTTGTTCGGGACATACACGCCGCCGTGCGCCCTCGCGCCCCCGCTGCCGCGGACCTGCCGATGCCGCCTCAGGAGTTTCTTGCGCGGTCTGGGCGACACAACTATCACTACGACTACGAGCACAGCGACTTCCAGGCCGTTCTCCACGGTATTCGGAGCGTTCGGATCCCAGCCGCCGGCTTTGCTTCGATGCCGGTGGATGCTTCTGAGGGCTCCCCAAGGACACCAGCAGTAGCGGTGGTGCTTGCAGCGCCGCTCAGCTATACCGACGATGCCACCGAGGCCGATGTGGTCACCATCAAGACGTCGCCCAAGATGAAGCAGCCGCCGAAGTACGACATCGACGCCACATTCTGGACCATGAAGACAGAGGCCATGGAACGTCCCTCGCCAGACTACCTCAGCCATCGACAGGGAGGGGAGATGATGATGATGGACCGCGCCGACCTCATCGACAAGATGCATCGCTTCTCCACACACTACGACCTCGCCCCGGGAGCGTTCCACCACGCAGTCTCCTTCGTCGACCGATTCCTGTCGGCCAAGAAGATCAACCGCGACGAGCGTCAAATTTGCCTCCTCGGCGCCGCAGCCGTCTTCGCGGCAGCCAAGTACGAGGACAGGAACACCGTGCTGAAGATCAACTCCGACCACGTCGCCATGTACGCTGGGTGCACCCGAAGCGAGGCTGTTGACCAGGAGCGCGAGCTGGTTGCCGTGCTCGGCTACCGCCTGAGCGGACCCACGGCCTACACGTTCGTCGGGCACTTCATGAGGCACAGCCAGGAGGAGGAGGTGGTCAGGGCCCTAGCGCATCACCTGGCCGACATGGCGTTGCCGGACTACAGGTGTGTGGCGTTCCTGCCATCCGCCGTGGCCGCGTCGGAGATCTTGCTGACGAGGACGGCCCTGTACTATTCGACGGCGGTGCCGGTGGATGCAGGCTACTATAGGCTCGAGGAGCTCAGCGACTGCATACAGGCGATATACGACATGCATGAGAACCTGTGGGTGTGGCCAGGGGTGCGCCCAGATGATGGTACACTGGGAGAGCACTGCTCAGTTCCGCTATTTCTTGTCTCCCCTGTCAATGCTGATTGCCATGCATTGACTGACCTGTACAAACACGCTGCTGCTGCTGCTGCTGCTGCTAATAGATGGTACAAACCTTTTCATCACGTCTGCGCCGGCGAGGCTGGGAAGGACGAAAGGAGCTACGGTGCACATGGTGGAGACCGCAGGAAGCTACAAGCGGTCTTGGCAGAGAACTAGGCAGTGCCTGCAGCGACCATGACGGCGACACCGCCCCGGCGTGGAGTAGCAACTCGTCCACCAGCGATGTCTCCTCACCGGAGTCGACCGTCAGCAGCGAGAGTGCGTTGGCCTACTACTTCGACGGCGACGGCGTGCTCAGCTTCGACGAGTCTAAGGTCATGATGAACGCAGCAAGTAGCCTTGTGCAGCAGTAGCATGCGTGCAGAGGTAGCAGCAGCGTGCGTGCGTGCTCCAAACGCCTACTACAAACAAGGGCACTTACGTCATTTTGCAAGCCACTTAACATCGTTACAGGTGAAAATAGACGGTAGTGCTATTTACGGAAGAAAATTTTAACTTGGTGCCGGATAAGAAGTTCAAATTTTTTAGTGGCAAATATGAAAGACTGATTTATTTCAGTACCAAATAGATAATTCTCCCATATATATGTTGTACACCGGTCCAAGAAAATATGGATCGTGGAAAAACAGACATAGAATGTTTTTTTTTCTAAATACTCTACCTATTTTAAATCATAAAAGTTGCTTTGATTTTTTTAAATATATCACTTTTGTTATGTACAGTACCTAAATACGGAGTATATGTTATGTCAGAAAGTTAAAATGATTTATAAGTTGAAAATAATGGTGTATGTTTTAGAACAGGAAAACATTTGCACTGACTGAAGTAATGAGAAGTGAAAAATTGGTTCACCTCAACACTTCCCGGCACATTAATTTTGTATTTCTCAAGAAAAAAAATCATCAGCCGTAGATCCTGAGCCGTCAAGCCGATCCAACGGTCGGACACCTGCGCGCCGTATCTCACATGTCCACCGTTCCCTTCGCCGGACAAGTTGAGCCCAACCCTAAGCAGCCCCCCCGCGCTAAACCCATCACCGCCACCATGCGAAGAAGCATCGGCGCCGCCGCCGCCGCCGCCGCCAGGCGGCACACCCACTCCCATACTCCTGCGCCCCGCCTTCTCCTCCTCGTCTGGAAGCGGCGGCGGTGATGGCGGTTTCGGGCACGGGCGTGGACGCGGCCTGCCGGCCTCCGGGCAGCCGCGCGCTCCCGGGAGGCCCATTTCCGACGACGATGGCGCGGATCCCTTCTCCGCCACAGCATCCGTCGGCCGCGGCCGCGGGGAGCCTGCGGTACCCTCATCCCCCAGCATCCCGTCCTTCGCCGTGTTCTCTGGCGTCGGTCGCGGCCGCGGATCCCCACTGCCCCCGCCGCCACCCCGCGAGGACGCCCCCAAGCAGCCGAGCTTCACCAAGCGCTTCGACAACGCTCCTCAGCGCCCCGATCCGGAGCCGCCGAGTCTCGATGCCTCCTCCTCCGCGGCGCCGCTCCCCCGCACGCTCCCGTTCTCCGGCGCCGGCCGCGGGGCCCCCCGGACGCAGCAGCCTGCACCGGATAAGCCTCCGGAAGAGAACCGGTTCATCCGGCGCCGCGAGGCGGCAAAACAGGCTGACGCCGAGCCGGCGAAACAGGCCGCCGCCGCGCAGCAACCGAAGTTGTCGCAACAGGAAGCCGTGGATCGGGCGGTTGAACTCCTGGGCGGCGGGGACCGCAGCGGCGAAGATGGCGGAGGGCGTGGTGGCAGGGGTCGCGGCTCCCGTGGCCGTGGCCCGGGCCGCGGCCGATTCAGGGGGCGCGGGCGCAGCGACGGCAGGTCCTTTGACGTGGAAGACGACCGGCAAGCGATCTACTTGGGAGACAACGCTGATGGCGATAGGCTAGAGAAGCGGCTCGGCGAGGACAAGATGCAGACTCTGGAGCAGGCGTTCATGGAGGCAGCAGATAATGCGCTGCCAGATCCAATCGAGGATGGTTACCTCGAGGCTTTTCACACAAATAGCATGGTGCGTACGGAGCCAGAGTGGATTTTGTTGCATTTTCCAATCTGGATGTGCTTGTGACTTTCCTGAAAGTTTTTGTTGCTGTGGATTTGTGCATGCAGATCGAGTTTGAGCCAGAGTACCATGTGAATTTTGGTAATCCTGATATTGATGAGAAACCACCAATGTCCTTGGAGGAGATGCTTCAGAAGGTGAAGCCCTTCATAGTTGCATTTGAGGGCATCCAGAACCAGGAAGAATGGGAGGTAATTTCTTCAATTGGTTGCACAGTTTTATGTTTACCCTCGAAAATGTTTCTGCTCGTATCGTATATATACTGTTTCTGTTGTCACTTGAATTAGGTATGTATTAGAAAATCCCAAGCCTTCATACCAGTGGTAAAAATCCATTTATGTACAGCTACAATTACAATACAAAATGGGTCGATGGTTGGGTAATATTAGATGATCATTACCTGCTCTAGACAGGCTTGAGAAGAGATAGAACATGTGAACAACATAAGCTGCAATCATGATATTACTCTTGTCTACAAATGTCTACATTCTACAATTTTGGTGCCCATCTAGTCCTGCTGTCATAACTCTGCTGACTACTATATACATAAATTTATCTAGATTGGCCTCTTATCTTTAGGTATATTAGTAGTTTTCTATTCAGATGTGAGACATAACTTTACACAGCATAAGCTTATATACAGATCAATTTTGTTAGATGCCTTATTCTATATTTCAGCTTTTACTCCACTTATGGAAGTCCTTACAACATCACATTACATTTTGTGTCAGATCATTAAATTAACATAGCAACTAGTGCATGCAAACATTAATGGTTGTATTCTAATACGATATATTTTGTGGCGGAGTATTTTAACTGACTCAATGTATTCTACTCTGTCATTATCAGGAATCTGTGAAAGATGTAATGGCTAGAGCCCCCCATATGAAAGAGCTCATAGATATGTACAGTGGACCTGATGTTGTGACTGCAAAACAACAAGAGGAGGAGCTGCAAAGAGTTGCAAACACTCTTCCAGAAAGCATCCCTTCTTCAGTAAAGCGGTTTACTGACAAAACTCTACTCTCTCTTAAGGTTTGCCTTCTTGTGACAACTTGTTTTCTGAACATTCCTTGGTTCCATTGGATCGATTTGATATGCTTGCATTTTCAATCATTCAACTTCTGAATCTCCCTTTGGTGATGAGTAACATGATTTGTGGTTAACTTGAAAATATGATACAGCAACCAGTAGCCAGGTTTCTTTTAAAAAAAAATTGAGACGCCTTGTGTTGGCATATTTATTAAACTTATTAAAGTTCAACTGCAATAAACATTTTATCCCTCTATTCCAAATTGTAAGTCATTTTGACTTTTCTAGGTACATAGCTTTTGCTACATAGTAAAAACTTTGAATCTAAAAATGCCAAAAACGACTTACAATTTGGAACGGAGGGAGTATTTACTTGGTGTTTTGTGTTTCATATAACATCTCAAATGTTTTGCCTGTTATGAGTATCATTAATGTTCGTTAGTCTGGTGTGGCGGTCTTGTATACCCTTTTCTGGAGCATATCTTGTGTGGATAGATATATTCAATTGATAACACAAGAGATGTTCTGTTGTATCTTCAAGTGCTGCCTTTTAGTTTCTTCCTACTTTTTCTTCCTTTGACAATAGGGTTGCTGCTGTCATAACATTATGATTGTTATTAAAAATTCTGTCCCTATTTCTGTTCATTGCAGAACAATCCTGGCTGGGGTTTTGACAAGAAATGCCAATTCGTGGACAAGTTTACTTGCATAGTTTCAGAGCAATACAAGTAGAAAGGCCTCTTATACTCTGTTGTAGTAACCATCTTATTTATCCTCCAAGGAGATTTGAGGGGTGTTCTTTGTTTTGAGAGAAGATGTGATGCCCATATCTAATCCATGCAATGTTTTTTTCTCATTCACTGGGATGCTAGTTTGATAAATAAAATTGCTGATAAACATGGTTTTTTTGCGAGATTTCTCTCCCTGACAATTTGGTTCTGGGGAGAGGGAACGTTGGCCCTGTTCGTTTGAACTTATCAGCCGTACCGTTTTAGTGAAATAACAGTGTTTTTCTTTTCACAACAAATCAAAGCATTAGCATCGGCCGTTTTTTTCAGAGCAGCCAACAGGGCCGTTGCCGCTGTTCTGTTCCATCATATGAAACTCCCATTCCTTACTCGGGCTTACTGAAATGCTCATTGAAATATGTTGTTTTGGGAATGAAAATTTGTTAAGAGCTAATCAAATTATGTTTTCTCGTGCCATGGGCTTATGGTCTGGATCGATCATGTTTAATGTGTTTTCTTGTGCTATGGGCCACATTCCCATTTCTGGACCAGTTATTTTCTGCAGTCACTTCGCAAATCTGAGTGGACCCTGGAGCGCTCTGTTATGGAATTCTTGGAGTGGAAGTAAGAATACCAGAATCATAAGGTGAAACACTCACATACCAGTATGGCAGTATCGAATTGCCCGTGCGGTTTTTCTCTACTGTACAATATACATGTATAGCAGGCTAGCGGCCTGTGTATGCCTTCTCTAAATGCAGTGTGTACTTTAAACGGCGCTTGATCCAAAAGAGAGCCGAAATGCCAACCTATCTAAACTCTAGAGCTCGACTCTGGTCCTGCTCGGTACAAATCGTCGTCTTCTTTTTTCTACGCTATACAAAAGTGAATCAGATATATCGTTGAAAACTTGAAATCGCAGATGTTTGCTGCTAGGCATGCTCAGGCGAGCCCTTATGGTGCCTGAAATGCATCTCAGGCCTTGTTTAAATTCAGAGGGTAAAGTTTTGAGGTCTCACATAGGGGCGTCGTATTGGGTGTTCGGATACTAATAAAAAAATAAATAAAAAAATAAATTACAGAATCCGTCAGTAAACCACGAGACGGATTTATTAAGCTTAATTAAGCTGTCATTAGTGCATATGTTAATGTAGCACCACATTATCAAATCATGGACTAATTAGGCTTAAAAGATTCGTCTCGCAAATTAGTCGTAATTTTTTAGTCTATATTTAATATTCTATGCATGTGTCCAAACATTTGATGAATATGGTGTAAACTTTTAGGCCTCAGTATCACAATTCAGGGCCATTCGTTCGTCCTGAACTTGGCTGCTGAGTGAAGTTACCTCAGAGCTTTGGAATCGTGCTGCTGCAGCAGCAGAGGCTGGTTCTCGTTGGTCTGGCTGCCCAGCGGCACGTACTGGGACATGATGTGCGAGTACGACTACAAACAACGGCAGAGAATTTTCAGTTGAGCTGCCATCAGCACAAACCTCTTTGCATCCAAACGGTTCAGTCCGTTCACTGCTGAAACATGTATCCTTTTCAGATGGACATGTACACACTACTATGAGCCTGTACTCTTATTAAAAAAAAAAGAGCCTGTACTGGTGTCATGGCGATGAACCAGCCGAGAGCCTCGACATGCATGTTGTTATCTGCGTGACAGGTCCAGAAAAAAGTTGGTCGTCACCGTCACCGTCACCGTCACCGTCACCGTCACCGTCAGATGGCAGAGTGCATTGGCACTCGGGCATGTGTGCGCGGCAAGGCCAGCTTCTCCCTGCGCTTCACTCGTCCAGGTCTGGAGTCTGGACTCTGGAGGACGTGGACCGGAGCATTTGTTTTGTCAGAACTCAATCAAAAAGGATAAAAAGACGCCCAGCCGCACGCCCTCCGTAAATTTTTGAAACAAAAACCAGAATTCCGCAACCGACACTCGTAGGCCCCACTAGCCGGCGGCACATATATATGGGCATGCAGCATGAGCCCGTCGGCCCGGCATGAGGCCCGTGTTTTTGGTCCGTCCCAAAGACGCAACGCGGCCCGTCACATCATGCGGGCCCAGACCGGCATGGCCCGATGTATAGGCCCATGCCCGGCCGCACCAGTGCGTGGTGGACAGCACAGCACGCCCATGAACTAGTGGAAGGCCTGTTGGAGGCCGGTGCTTGCATTGGCTTGCTAAAAAAAAATAAAGGCACATCCCACTACTTTCTCTCCAAACCCTATCCCACTCCCTTTCCCCTACTTGCGCCGCACGCACATCTCGCGAGGGCCGCGACTCCCGCAATCATGAGTTGCGACGCCAGGCGCGCCACTCGCCTCCACGGCCCCTAGCCCCCAGCCCCGGACGGTGCCACCTCCTCCTCACCCCCCCCGACCTCCTCCTGCTCCTCCTTGGGGGCAAGGCATGCTGCTATGCTGGCTCCCCGAGTCTGCTTGGTTTTGTTTGCTGGCTCCCAGTCATTATCCTCCCTCCTCCACAGATCCGGTCTCTGTGGCCCCAAGACCACCGGGTCGCGGCCCCTCCTCCACACGCCCCCACGGCTGGCGCGCATGCAGCCACCGCCTTGCGGCGTCGAGCCAGCGCCTCCCGGCCTCTCTTTCCTCTCTCATCAAGGGCCCGCAGGCGACCTGCTGCTAGCTTGGCCGTGCTTCTCGGATCGGCCCAGCATGAAAATCGGCCCGACAGGCCGTGCCTTAGCCGTCGGCCAGGAACGAAGGCCAGGCCGTGGCGGCCCGTTGCCCATCTATAGCGGCACAAGGACACCCGCGTGGCTGCGCCCAGGTTCGTGTGCAAGTGGAACCACCTTCCGCCTCCATGAGTTGAGTTGCTGCGGCTTGCGACAGACACCAAGCGCTGCTCTGCTCCCACCACGCCACGCGACACACAGCGAGCGAGCGCTCCGCTCCGCGGTTTCTGCCCCCGGTCGCCACGCCCCGCTGCACGGCTCCCGAGGCTCCACGCCACGGCCGCCGTCACCGTCGCCGTCGCCATCGCCGCGCTGCTGAGACGCTGTGATGAGGACATCATCATGCTGGACACACCGACGCCATGGTCTTCCCCAAGTTGCAATTCGTTTCCAACTCAGCTGCCACGTCGCCCTCGGATTCAGCAGACACGTCATCACTGTTTCGGTCATAACTTTCTCATACGACATCAAAACGGGCCGTTCTTGGGTGCGTTGGAAAGAGGACGACGACGCCGTCGTTTTGGATCTGGTCCCAGCTCCAGAAGGTCCATGGATCATTCTATGTGACCACGGTAAGGTGCTGCGTCACCTATTTGGGCCAACTTGGCCATGTATCATGTCGGGCTTTAAGCCCAAGTTGTGGGCGCCCAACCCCTGGCCGGCCCCAACCCTAGGTCGAGTCTTAGACTATAAATACAGCCGTCGTCGCTGCTACACAATTGGGTTTTGTTTAGAGTTTAGTTTTCCATCGAGAAACTGAATCGTTCATTATAACTTGTGGTGACAAATCCTTTTACAAATGATCCAAGGCCCCGTTCTTGATCTCCTCCATCGTGTCGATTAGTCCTTTGGAACCGAGTTCTAGAACCCTCTATTGATATTCGCGTCATTCATATTTGCAATATCGATTTAAGTGTTTTACCTTCTTGCTTGTGCTCTTGATTAAACTTGCGGTAAAAGCCTTCTTGGCGAGGTCAATCAAGTTGTGCTTGGTTGATAACCAACGAGCGATGGTGTAACGGTTGCAAGGTTCGAATCGCGTCGATTTGAAGCCGGATCGCCAACGTCCGAGATCTCCACAAATCGAACTTACCGGCTACCTCTCGGAAGATCGGGCTGTACTCATCAATTGGTATCGATATTTTAGGTTTACCGCGAGGTATAATCTCGCTTTGCCTTAGATTCGTATTTGTTCATTACCTAGAGTCTAAAAAGCCCAAAAATATTTCAATTTCCATTGTCCTATCGTCCTTTGTGCCTTTGCAATTTCGTTTCGATTCGTGTTGTTGAGTTTGTGTCCGTGGTCGAGTCTTGTTGCTGGTTTAGGATTATGTTCGTGGTCGTAGTTCAATCGCCCGTTGCTGTGATTTTTGTTTTCCGCCGCTATCCCATCCACCGTTCCCAAACAACAAATCAAAGCCACCACATTACTCGACTTGCCCCGCTAGCCGCCTTGTGTAACTTCTCGCCGCCGCGCAAACCCTAGACAGGTTGCCAGCCGCTCTTATTTTGCCTGCATCGCAGCCCTCCTTACATCATCAGGCGAATACCTACTGCTGTTAGTCATAGTGACGATCCTGTGATCGGTGCTAGAGTTTCGGGACGCTTTGCCCTAACTGCCGCCGCCGTGTTGTGCCTCCCGAAAAACATACCTTGAGATACCTTCGGTAAAACAGGCATAACTTTTCGCTCGTTTCTCCGAAAAATCTGAAATTTTTTCAGCAGCTTCTTGACACCATTTGGAGCCGACCCAAACTCGGCTTCGTCCTGTTTGGTTTCATCAGAATTGTCAAAAAAATTCGGGAAAATATAGAAAAAAAATTGTCAAAGTTTTTACATGCTTTTCAGAGAACGTGCTGAATTTCTGTATACCACATCCCACCTCAGTTGTAGGTGTCAATTTTTGTGGTTGCATCTTTTGTGATCCTTGTTCAGAGAAAAGTATATAAAAAATAGTAAAAAAAGTAAAAAAGTTCGTTTCCTATTAGTGCCTTTTGGAAAAAAAAGGAGAAATCCGAGAAATCCGGGTTGCTTGTTCCGTGAGTTCTTTCGATCATCCTTTGTTTTCACCTTGTTGCGCTACGTCTCATCACGTCTTAGCCAGCACCTGTGATTTGTACTTTGGATTCGGATTGAACAATCATTAATCTGCATTCGTTAATTGCTAATCCTTGCTGTCATATTGTGTGCCTACCCATAGCTCCACATATTCTTCATCGGCTGACAGTTCATCTTGCAATCATTACCCACGCCCACAGCAGTTAGCCGCCACTTTGGTTTTGCTCCTGTTTGGCGTTGGTAAGAATACGAGCAAGGCGGTGGTAAGCCGCTTGTGATTTTGCATTCCACTTTCACCACCATCACCACCACCACCACTTGTTTCCTTTTAGTTGATAGGGATAATATTTTGGTGTTGTCTTTTCTATCTTCTAACCATGGCGGGAACTCCGACGGACTTCAATGAGTGCGTGTCAAAGGGCGAGCTTACAACGTTCATGACCGAACAACGCAATCTTATGACCGAGTGGACGCTAACGTGAACAATCTGGTCACCCGCATTGAATACAACTTGAGCAACGCCCTCCACCTTATCGTCTTTGATGATGAAGATGCGGATGCTCTTGGTGATGAAGATCGTATTATCTTGTGGGTGGTGCCGTCACGCCTCAACTTCAATCGTCATGCGGTATGGAAGGTAATAATCATGGTACTAATGATCCTTTTGCTAAAATTAAATTTAGTCTACCTCCTTTTGCTGGTAATGTTGATCCAGAGACATATTTAGATTGGGAGCTTGCTGTTCAATAAAAAATTGATTCTCATAATGTTCCCGCTGAGCATAGAGTTAGACTTGCTACTAGTGAGTTTACTAATTTTGCTTTGTTTTAGTGGAGTGATCTTTGCAATGCCAATAATGCTGCTGCTGTGCCTCAAACTTGGAATGTTTTAAAGCAACGTATAAAATCTCGTTTTGTTCCTCCTTATTACCAACGTGATTTACGTTTGAAATTACAAACTTTAAAACAAGGTGATAAAGGAGTAGAAGCATACTATCAAGAATTGCTTATTGGTTTAGCACGTTGTGGTATAAACGAAGATGATAATGATGCTAGTGCTAGATTTTTGGTGGTTTAAACCATGATATACGAACATACTTGATTACAAAGAATGGCGCAATTTTTCCCAATTGTATCATCTTGCTATTAAAGCGAGAACGAGAAGTGCAGGGGACGCAAACAACACCAACCTTTCAGGTCTAACAATGGGAGGAATTTTCATGCAGCGGCGTTCGAGCGGAGACGACCAAACTTCCTGTTGCACCACATCCATCTACAACTCCATTTTCTTCCGGGGTAAGTAAATTGTCTAATGTGCGCTTCCACAATGAAGAAAGGTGGCACTCCGGTGCTTCTACTAGCTTCTCCTCGTCCACTCTAAAATCATTTGCCACCGATGCAAAGGCATGTGACATGTCATGAAGGATTGCCCCAGTCGTCGCGCTTTCATTGCTACTGAGGATGGATATGTAAGTGCTAGTGACGTTGAAGATGATTTAGCCCTTGCTGCTAACATTGATGCAGATCCCACCGAGGGCGATCAAGACAAGGAGGCCATCACCATTGACTCCGTGGCTGCTGCCGCGGACTACCCTAGCCTTCTTGTGCAGCGTGTGTTGAGTACACGTGTGGGACATGAAGAAGAGATGAAGATCCAACGCCACAATTTGTTCCACATGTATCTCATTGTGTAGGGTTGTCGTGTTCTCACTATCATTGATAGCGGAAGTTGCAACAACTTGGTGAGTTTAGATTTGGTTGACAAGTTTGGCTTGACCACACGACAACATTCGTATCCATATAAATTTCAATGGTTCAATAATAGTGGTAAGACTAAGGTAACTAAATCAGCACGCATTAGCTTTTTCACAGGCTCTTATCATGATACTGCTGATTTTGATGTTGTCCCTATGCAAGCTTGTTCCATTTTGTTAGGTCGATCATGGGAATTTGATAATGATGCTTTACACCATGGTAGAACTAATACATACACTATCATACATAAGGACAAGAAAATTACATTGCTGCCTTTGTCTCCTACGGATATTATTAAACATGCTAATGAGATTAAAAATAAACCTCCAACAGACATTGCTAAAAATAATGGGATTAAGTTAAAAGGAGGTGCTTTTCTTGCTACAACTTCTGCTACTGCTGAGTTATGTGATAATCCTGATGCACCATGTTATACTATGTTTTGTCAACCTTTTATGTCTGGTGCATTGCCTGCTGTCACTAACCTTTTGCAGGAGTTCGCTGATGACGGGATAGAGTCGAGGACGACTCCAATTCTAGGAGGGGATGACGAGGACATCGCCAAGATGGAGTCGAGGACGACTCCAATTCGAGAAGGGGAGGATGATGAGGACATCACCATGCTGGACACACCGACGCCATGGTCTTTCCCAAGTTGCAATTCGTTTCCAACTCAGCTGACACGTCGCCCTCGGATTCAGCAGACACGTCGTCACTGTTTCGGTCATAACTTTCTCATACGACATCGAAACGGGCCGTTCTTGGATGCGTTGGAAAGGGGACGACGACGCCGTCATTTTGGATCTGGTCCCAGCTCCAGAAGGTCCGTGGATCATTCTGTCTGACCACGGTAAGGTGTTGCGTCACCTATTTGGGCCAACTTGGCCATGTATCGTGTCGGGCCTTAAGCCCAAGTTGTGGGCGTCCAACCCCTGGTCGTCCCCAACCCTAGGTCGAGTCTTAGACTATAAACACAGCCGTCGCCGCTGCTACATAATTGGATTTTGTTTAGAGTTTAGTTTTTCCTCGAGAAACTGAATCGTTCATTGTAACTGTGGTGACAAATCATTTTACAGTGATACAGGGCTCCCGTTCTTATCTCCTCCACTGTGTCGATTAGTCCTTTGGAACCGAGTTCTAGAACCCTCTATTGATATTCGCGTCATTCATATTTGCAATATCAGATTGCGTGTTTTACCTTCTTGCTTGTGCTCTTCGATTCGCTTGCAGGAAAAGCCTTCTTAGCGAGGTCAATCAAGTTGTGCTTGGTTGATAACTAACGGAGTAGTGGTGTAACAGTTGCAGAGTTCGAATCGCGTCTGATTTGAAGCCAGATCGTCAACGTCGAGATCTCCACAAATCAAATTTACCGGCTACCTCTCTCGGAAGATCTGGCCTGTACTCGTCACGCTGCCGGCCGACTTACTAATGTAAGTCTCTCTTCGGTGCTTCTTCATCTCCGCGCGCTCTCCATTTCGGGCCCCCATTGCTTATCCGGCTGTTTTCTTTTTCTTTTTGATCCGCGCGCGTGGCGGTGGCTCCCAGGTTCCGCACGATCGGATCGTTCGTCGTGCGTCCGCTGGTACGTCGGCGCGATCTGATGTGGTTTTGCCGGGCGGCCTGATTCGGCCTCACGCGGCGGATTCGGGCCCGGAAATGCTTCGGCGCTGATGATAAGATGCCTGTCGCGCGGTGTGTCAGTACGGATTTCGGAGAAGTGCGCGGTTTGGGTGAGGTTGGCGCCTTGAGATGGCTTCCTTTGACTAGTCTGGAGCTGATTTAGCTCGCGATGGCGGTAATCTGTCTGGCTCTGTAAAAGGCGGGATTTTCCTCGGTGGACACCCCCCCTGGGAGGCATCGGGTGATGGAGATGTCATCGCCTCATCGCTGGCTGTAGTGACGACGGTGGCATTCGATTCCGCTTTAAAGGACCTTGGTGATTGGGAAGCAGGGCGTGTCTTTAAGGGGGTTCGCGATGGCGATGAGGGCCCCAGTTTTATTCCTCCGTCCTCCCCGCTTTTGTCCACCTGAACTGGTCCTTTTCTTGTCACAACGGGCGAAGGGAGGGACACTTCTTGAGCAGTTGAGCTGAAATTCCGATGCTTGCTGATTGGGTTTCTCTCATGGTTTTTCTTTGATCGGTGAATTTATTCTTCTCTGTTGGGTATTCTTGCATGTGGAGATTGGAAGGAGGAGCGCCCACGGATGTAACGCCAGACTGAGTTGCATGGAGGGATAATGCCAGAGTTGCGAAGTGGTGCTCGGAGAGCTTGCCTGAGGTCTAAGAAGTCAGACAACGTCAAGGCTGCAGACCCAGTTGGGAGCCCAGCAGTGCCACCTCCTCAGGGCAGGACTAGAAGGCGTGGAGGTGCTGTGGCTGGTAGTGGTAGAGGTAACAAGGCAGCTGCTAAGGGTAGAGGGAGGTCAGCTTCGAAACACAGAGAAAGGGGCTCGAGACTATTGATTTGAAGACTGATCTGCCTTGCAACAACCTCCCTGAACCTGGTTGCCGGCGAGGCAGTTATTGGCATAGCCCAAAAGGACCTTTGTTTGAGCAAGGCAGCTGCCCGTGCTGCCAACTTAAGAATGGCAGGTGATTTTGCGGACAAATTTGCAGTGGCAGAGGATGATGCCACAGCCTCTCCAGTGCCTGAGAGGGTATGGATTCACTGTCCCTGACGTGTTTCTTTACATGGTGTGCAATTTTGTAGATTGATCGATCAAGTGTTGTCCTTTGACCTATTAGAAAGCCTTTTTTGTGCTGTTTGGTCTTGATGTCTTGTTTTGTAGTTCCATCATGTAGCTTGTATTATTCAGAGAAGTTCACATGTGCCCTGTTGTGTTAGATACAATTATTATCACTGGGAGCATGCTTCTCTTGCGCTGTATCTGTTTACTTTTCTGTAGAGTGTAGCATGCAGTCTTAGGCATACATGCTATATGTTGGGCACAATATTAGTTCTTCTCATATAAAAGCAAAGAACAAAACCAAAGTTAGAACCTACCATGGTGATGATCAATCTGAATGGTGAAGAGGAACAAAATCGTTGGCTTTGGTGTGCTTGATAGATTGCATCTTTATTTGCATGAGAGAAATCAAGTTCTGAATTATTGGATTGTACCATCAGAATACTTTTGGTTTTTAGAAAGTAGTAATGATATAGTAAAGAACTAGCACAATGAACTCAAGGAAATGGAAATAATAAACAATATCTTCCTGGATTAGTTGTTTTTGCCTATTGTATTTCAGTGATTATTAAAACAATTCCTCACACCCTCTTCAACAATTCTTGCCTTTGCAGTCTCTTAGGGAATACAGTAGGTGTTAATCTTTTTATCAAACACGCAGGAGAGCGCCGTATCTTTATATTAAGAACGAGAAAGGGCAAAAGAACCCATGCAAGAAACCACACACTCACACGAACTCGTGGACTCAAGTTTAAGATCTTTAGAGAACAGAGATAGCAGAGAGATTGTATTCCCCATTTGGGACAGACATTGTGAAGAATTTGCTGGCACATTCAGTGCACTGCATTTACATTTTTAGGAATGGGCACTAAAGACATATTCACTTGGCAAGATAAAGTCTTTATTGTTTAAATAGGTTTCTATTTTTTATTATAATCTTAGTTTGCCATTTGAAGGGCGGGCCTGGTGCAAGCGGTAGAGTCTTACCGCATGTGACCGGAAGGTCCCGGGTTCGAGTCGCGGTCTCCTCTCATTGCACAGGCGAGGGTAAGGCTTGCCACTGACACCCTTCCCCAGACCCCGCACAAAGCGGGAGCTCTCTGCACTGGGTACGCCTTTTTTTTAATCTTAGTTTGCCATTTCTTGCCGATTAACTTGCCTATATGTATAGTTCTGCAGCTATGAATTATAAGCACCTATACGTTATCCAATTGTTGCAGGTTCAAGTAGGCAATTCCCCAGAATATTTAACTGGTAGAAAGTTAGGCAAAGGTGGCTTTGGCCAGGTTTATGTTGGAAGAAGAGTATCTGGTGGATCTTCTCGTATGGGTCCTGATGCACATGAGGTTTCTTCTTTTATCTCTTTCAATTGAATGCTAAAGTTCTATTTGGTACACCATTCAAATATCTGGGTGAATGTCCTGTAGGTTGCACTAAATTTTGAGCACCGAAGCAGTAAGGGATGCAACTATGCCCCCCCATGCGAGTGGCACGTTTATCAGTACGAACCTTCATAATCCTCCTCCTGTATTTCAATTATTCTCTGTGGATAATGATCCATTATCTTGTCTGACCAGCACTCTCAATGGTTGTTATGGCATTCCATCAGTCCACTACAAGGGTCACCAGGGAGAGTACTACATTCTTGTGAGTTTAAAGTTAGTTATTAACTGCCAAAAAAATGTATCCGACTTAACTGGATATTTTATTAAACCTGCATTCCAAATTTCAGGTAATGGATATGCTTGGTTCCAGCCTCTGGGATGTTTGGAATTCTGTAGGACAAGCGTAAGTATCTTGCCAAACTGTTTACCTTATCCATATGCTTTCTTACTCCCTACTGATATCAATGCCTCCAATAGGGTGGCTCCTCAAATGGCTGCTTGCATTGCTGTTGAGGCAATATCAATTCTTGAGAAACTTCATTCAAAAGGGTAAACCGAAAAGTATTCGATAATTATAGTAAGATGCATGAATTTTAGTGTACTTTTGATGCTAACAGTCACATGGTTTCCTATCATTGCCAGCTTTGTACATGGCGATGTGAAACCAGAGAACTTTTTGCTTGGTCAGCCTGGTTCACCTGATGAGAAGAAGCTTTTCCTGATTGATCTTGGTTTAGGTACCTTGTTCAAAATAACATAATCTATGTGTGAAGATATTTTGTTCAAAATAACTTAATCTATATGTGAAGATAGTAAGATACTATGTCTCACATTGTTGAGACACTATGGCCTTCGCTAGTTGGCGTTGGCTTCTTAGGATATGTTTTATGCCCCCACTGACCTTTTCTACACTGTTCTGTGAATTTTAAAATTATGCAGCATCCAGATGGAAAGAAGCAGCATCTGATAAGCATGTTGAATATGATCAGAGGCCTGATATCTTTAGGTTAGTTAGATCTTGTGGTGCATGTTACTGTACTAGCTTCTCTCTGTATAAAATTGTATCACCTCCTAATATTAACTATCTCCTCTTTACATTTTGCAGGGGAACAATTAGATATGCTAGTGTCCATGCTCATTTAGGTCGTACTGGTAGTAGGAGGGATGATCTGGAGTCACTGGCATACACCCTTATTTTTTTAATAAGAGGAAGATTGCCTTGGTAAGGTTATCAGGTAGCCTTAGACATGCTCAGCTTTGTCTGTGTAACATGTTCTGTTTGGTCTTGGACCTGTTTTTGCTAATAATGATTTAATAATGCAGGGAGATGACAAGAGTTTTCTTGTTTGTAAGAAGAAAATGGCCACTTCTCCAGAGATGCTTTGTTGCTTCTGTCCAGTTCCATTCAAATATTTTCTTGAGATGGTCACCAATTTGAAATTTGATGAAGAGCCAAATTACCCTAAACTTATTTCTGTTTTTGATGGTTTGATTGAAGAGCCTGCTTCAAGACCCATCAGAATTGATGGAGCTCTAAAGGTCTGATCTGCCATGAACACAACATATTACCATTTCCAAAGTTCGAACTATTTTATTCATTTGGAAAAATCCAATCGTTAGTTTATTCTGCTTCTTTTAGTTTTGGTCATGAATCTGTTGCACATACTATAGGTTGGACAGAAACGTGGAAGAGCACACGTAAACCTTGAGGTCGAAGAACAACCAAAGAAGAAAGTTAGGTTGGGGAGCCCAGCAACTCAATGGATTTCAGTGTATAATGCTAGGTGGCCCATGAAGCAGAGGTAATTGCATTCAAATATGCCAGTTGTATAAATTGCTCTTTTATATTTGTGTATCTAAATACAGTATCTTCTATTGGCTGTGATGTCGTATTTCCCTTGCTCTTTAAAATGGTATGTTCTAGAGTCTAGACTAAGTGCTTCCTTTGCTCACAGCACACAGTATCACTAGGGTTCTGAATGATTATTTGTTTGTTTGTTTATATTTATGTGATTTATTTGAATACACACTTGGCATCTCATGTGGCTTCTTATCGTTTCACCAGTATTGAAATTTAGCCACTAAAAAATCTTGTTACGACCATGATTCTTTTTCTCTGAGAAAGAGGCTTTTTTGTGCCCCTGTGCCCTTTTCACTTTGTAAAATTGTAATCAACATGCTTTCTAGACATAACATAAACACATGATAAAACAAGAGCTGGCATTTTAATTCCTGATATGAAGAACTTCTTTAGATGGTATCAAGGATATGATGGATAAATGTAGCTGAATTAAGCAGTATATCTTTTTGGTCATGTTTGGGATAGCGCTAGTGTGAACTCCCCCTCTAACAGTCATACATCTTGCATGACCCTAGTTTTGCATAATGCCTTGGCAAAAGTAGCAGTCAACATTGTTGTACGAGTTAAAAATAAAGCATTACATGCTATTTCTAGTACTGTGCAATCTAATCTAGTGTAGCTCCTATTTCTCTGTGTGTGCATGTGTGCTTTCTTTTTAGTTTGAAATATATGAAGTCCCACTGGTTACTCAGCTATTTATTCTTATTTTGCTGCTTCCCCTATTTAAGTATGATTTAAAAAATTTCACTGTAAAAGACACTGCTTCTTTTGTCTTTAGATATCATTATAATGTAGCTGATTCAAGGCTGCACCAGCATATAGAAAAAGGTAATCGAGATGGTTTGTATATAAGTTCTGTGGCTTCTTCAGCAAATTTTTGGGCTCTCATCATGGATGCTGGGACTGGGTTTTGTTCTCAAGTTTATGAGCTCTCACAAGTGTTTCTGCACAAGGTACACTATGATCTCTTTCTTTCCCTCTGTCACTCCCTCCATCACTCCATCTCCTGATTCTAGGTTGTGTATATTTGTAGGAGTGGATTACAGAGCAGTGGGAGAAGAATTATTACATAACAGCAATTGCTGGAGCAACCAATGGAAGTTCCTTGATTGTAATGTCTAAAGGTCTGTAGATTGTTTTTCTCTACTAAACAGTTTTCAAATTAGGCCCGGTATGCAGATTGGAATGTGTTAACACTGGATTTTGGTCAATTCTGGAAGATGACAGGTGGACCCACATGCAGGAAGAAGAGTGTTCGGCAAATAACGCAAGCGGTCGGCTAAATGCTTGTGCGGTCGGTTGTTCTGGAAGGCGATAACTCCATTCGGGAAAGCAGAAGATGGCAAGCAAAGCTGATCGAGAAGATGAAAGTTGTAATAATAAAGGACTCTGAGAGTTTGGGGCAAGGAATCGTAGTTTCCAAGTTTATTTAAAGAGTTCCTTTGTAAATCGTAGTCTTTTAGGACTCGTGTTTCGTCTAGGGTATAAATATTGACCCTCGACCATTGTAATAGGCGTTCACAACCAAATCAATACAACCGGCCCCGTGCCAACTTTCGAGTCCTTTTGTCGTGTCGTCGAGTTCTTCGAGAGGAGTCATCGATCCGTCGACCTCCGTAAGTTCCGACAACCTTGTTATCATGTTTAGTATCATGCGGTGGATTTAAACGTGATGCAAGTAGTCTTGTTTGTTTTCAATGATCGTGCGGCGGATCTTTGCTTGACAATCAAGAAGTCTTCGCTTATACTTTGTTTATGAGTAGATACCGTGCGGCAGGCGTTTGCTCAATATGCTTAGTGGAAGCAAGACAGTTATCGGCTCTATTAGATTACGGCAAAATCTAAATAGATTCATCAAGTTATCCTGTGTTGCATGTTTTAAATATTTTATATATTTGTAACACACTTTTGCCCAATCTAGATTGATATTGTTCGGCCCTCTTCTATGGTTTTATTCGAGCTTCAATGATCATTACTTTCATAATACCTTTGCAAATAGATAACATGCTCGTAATGGCCAAATTATTTTAATCTAGATTGTCACATGTTGTGGGTTCATGTATGTTAATCACGTTTAAGTTTTTGACGAAACTAGGTGTCGTGCGGCAGACGCAGGTTTTAGATTGGCTTAATCATGTTTATCTACACGTTCCTTCTTCATGGACCCCAACTCGGCTGGATTGCTGAGCTTGGATATGCATTAACGCATAATCAATTTCACTTGTTCAAACATGTCTTTCCATGCATATGCATTCGGCAATCAGATCTTTACGTATGTCCATCTTACGATTAGCCGAATGATTTATAAACTTGTTGGCAGACAGCTTCCTATAGCTGTATGTCGTTGTAAGTGGCTTCAGGGCCGTATATACGGAACTGTCTGGTCTCACCCGACATGTTCCGGTTTGACATTTAACTGTTTTATCCCTTGTCAGTTTCTTTCAGGTCAAACTGACTGGCACGTTCCGGATCACGAAGCACCCGGGCATCCGATTGAAGCTACGCTTTTCGGCTTGCTGTGTGTGTGGCACAGTGCGTCACATTTTGTGTCAACACACTTTTTGGCACGCTCGGTGGGACAATCTGCTAGTTCAAGATGGCATCTGAGATCAACAATGATCATGTTCTGGATGTAAGCATGGCAGAATTGCCAGATAATTACAAGGATTTAGTGCTACAAGCGTGTGAGCAATACCAACGGAAGTGCTTGATGTCTTTTTCCAAAAACAAGAGCAATAAAGTATTTCAAAAGCAGTCAATGCCAAGGGTTCTTCTTCCGCATCAAACTGATTACACTGAAAAGGAGGATGCTCGAGGAAGATGGCAGCCACGGTTTATAAAGCTATGGGAGAAACCATGACAAACCATCACACGACTTTTACCGAATACCTTTCGGGCAATCATGATCGATACTTTTGGCCCAATGGTTGATAAATACTTGAGGAAAATGTTGGACCACTTAGTGGGCGATGCTTTCAATGTTCCAAAGCATCAAGAGAAGCCTGTTGGAAAGGAAGTAGCGTCGCCTTCAAATATAGGTGGATTGACTCACACCGAAAAGCAATCACATCCCACTTATGGCGGATGACATTTGGTACCACAGAGAAGTGCCACTTTCAGCTTATAGAGTTTCTCCGGCATCAAATAGATTACTGAAAGAATATGTATGGAGATGGATATCAAGAATTTACTTGATTACAGTCTTTGTCAATCTTGTGCCAAACCCGAGGTATAGAAGTGTTTGAGATTGCCTTACGGGTGCAAGTACAAGGAAACCAGGATCCGGTATTGATGTTTTGATGCACAGGATGGCTGATATGATGCGAGAATCGATTCGGCTTGAAGCCAAAGAATCAATCCTATTCATACAAATCTCCTTATCCGAGAATGGTACAACAGAGTGGCATTGCCTCCAAGGGTGAAGCCTCCAACAGATTTGACCAAGTTTTACGGTCAAGATGATACTAGTACCATAGAGCACATCGATTGGTACTTAATGCGACTTGGAGAAGCCGCTTCGGATGAAGCATGGAGGATTCGATATTTTCCTTTGTCTCTTACAGGACCGGCTTTCACATGGTTCACGTCTCTCTGGCTCATTCCATTGGTGCGTGGGGCGAGAACTAGAGCGAAGTTTCATTCATATTTCTATCACGGGTACCAATGAGAAGAAATTGGTTGATCTCATGAGTCGAGGATGAGAACAAATGAAACACCATTGGAGTATCTTCAGCAGATTTAGGGAGACCAAGAATATGTGTTATTCTCTAAATTTACCGATGATCAACTACACGGAATTGCTATAGTAGGAATGTTGCCAAATATCAGGGAGAAGTTGTTCGGTTTAGAGTTTGATGATCTTGGTCAACTTGCACAGCGTTTAGCAGCTATGAGTAATCAAGCCCAAGGGTTCAGGAGAGATAATCGCTTTCAGAAGAACAATGCCACTAATGAGGTGTATCAGGGCTTTCTGGATGAAGCGACTGAGTATATTGATGAAGATGAGATAGCTGCAGCTGAGTTAAATTGGGACAAGGAACCCACTCAAGTTAGTCAACGCCGTTGAAACAACAAAAGGGAACCTATGATTTTGATGTTACTAAAGGCGCATGGACTTTTTGCATTGTTGATAAAGGAAGGACGCATCAAGTTACCGAGAAGGACATCCTATGTTACGTCTGAAGGAGTGAAAGACAAAAATATTGTGGCTTTCATAACACTAATTCTCATTCTATTAATGATTGCCGAGTGTTCGAATCACGAATCCGAAAAAGCTATCCAAGAGGGACATTTGAGGTTTGATGGCAAGATGAAAATTGATGATCGACCTTTTCCACAAAATATGATTTCTTTCTCTGTGAATGTGGTATCCGCCAATGATCTCAAAGGTAAAGGCAAGGTGAAAGTGTTGACTTGATAGAGCAAAGGAGAGTGGTCTTGTTGACCCGGATCGGCAAATCACCAATGAGAGAGTGCAGACATCGAGTTCGGTTTCGAATAGCCGAACCGAGAAAGGTCAAACTTCAAATCGAGTTACATCACGTATTTTGCTAAACAAGTGGCGGAGAGAACAAGAGAAGGAATCTTGTAAAAACAATGGTTTATGGAAGAATGCCGGAGGTATGAGGAAGAAGTATACCAAAGGGAGCAAGAAGAATACATGACGAACAGGAGCGATCTCATTGGGGTTGTTCGTTCTTTAGGCATTGTTGGAATGAAGGTTTGAGGTTGCCCGCAAGAAATAATTGTCCGGAGTGTAGTGCTCGATTACTCGAGTATAGGCAATCTCGAGTCAACCGCCGTCCGTCTATGAAAGACTTGGAACGAAGATTCTCAAGATGATCGGCGCTTAAAATAGGTGGCTTTGAGAATCAAAGAAAGGAAAAGAGTTGCGAGTTCAAAGTTGGATTCATGATAGAGTGCATAATGAAGAAGCCGACTTTTGTAAATACGTATGGCAAAAAGGACAAGTGGTGTCCTCCGTGCCTAAGGAAAAGCCGAAAAAAAGAGTACAACGATTGAGGAATAGGGAGTTGGAACAAGAAGTTGCCAAAACAAAGCAAATTTGGCGTCCTAAAAAGAAGCCCGATGGATGTGGTCCTTGGCTAATGCTTGCATGGCTTTCTTCCTCCCATCGAGTTTATAGCTCCCGAAAGCCAAGATTTCCAAGAAGAGGTGTACTCGATTTTGATGAAAGTGAATGTCGAGATTTGATGGCTCAACTTGTATTAACACAAAGAAATTTTGTTTTTGATAAACCAATCAAGAATCGTCACTTGAGGCCACTCTATTTAAAGGGATATGTCAATGGCAAGCCTTTAACTAAGATGTTTGTCGATGGAGGGCTGCTATCAATATCATGCCTTATACTACCTTCGTGAAACTTGGGATGACTAATGAAGAATTACTTGGCCCGACATGGTGCTTAGGGATTTTCTTGGCAATCCTTCCGATACAAGAGGTGCTATCCATGTCGAAATGACTATTGGGTCAAAAACTCGATTACTACCTTTTTGTCATTGATGGCAAGGGGGCATATAGTCTACTCTTGGGCAGAGATTGGATCCATGCTAATTGTTGCATTCCTTCAACTATGCATCAAATTCTCATTCAATGGATTGGAGATGATGTTGAAGTTGTACATCTTTGATAATTGGTAAGTGTGTTCTTTGCCACGGAATCTACCTATTGGGAATATGAGGCGTCGATTGTTTCTCTGGAAAAAGTGTGGAAAGAAGGTCCTGTAAATGTTTTTAGCGAAAGCCAACAACCGATCCAAGCGATCGGCTCTCATAGCAATTTTAATGGGAAATCCCGTCGATGGCAACAAAGGAAAGTTGGGCGTGGTTTTATGTCACCGATAAGTTGGAGGAAATCAATGTTGGTGATGGTTCTAAGCCAAGGCCGATGTATATTAGTGCAAAGTTAGACCCGAATATAAGTCAAAGTTGATAGATTTGTTGAAAGAGTTTAAAGACTGCTTTTGCTTGGGATTACACCGAAATGCACGGATTGGATCGTTCCATTGTTGAGCATCGATTACCCATTAAACCTGGGTTTTCGTCCTTATAAACAACCTCCAAGGAAGATATACAAAGAGGAGGTATTGGCCGATGTGAAGAAGGAGGTTGA